GTCATTATAGTTTACAAGCTACACATCCATTCTGGGGAGTGAATGAAGGACCATTTTAATGCGATGGTTTTGTTAAACACTTTTTTTTTCTTTTGAGTGTGAATTACTTACATAAATTTAGGAATCTTTCTTAAAAACAATGAATAAGTTGTCATTGTCTTCTGACATTGGAAGAACTTTCTATTGTCCCCAAAGTGGGGTCCATTTTTCAAAAGTTTTCATTCTTCATTCCTTATTTCAAAAAAATTTTTCATATTTTTGGGAAACTCGTGGTGATTTCTGCATAGTGTCCCTCCTCACCTCAAATGGTAGAATAAAAACTAGTTTATAGCTACATTTATTGCTACTGTCCATACATTTTCCGATTTCTCCAGTAAGCCTCCTTGGCTTCTTCTGTTCTTACTCTTCTCATGCTTGAGAAATTAAATATAGAATGTTCCTAAACTATGACACATCTACTCCTCAGTCCTAGCCTTTGGTTTAGCTTCTCTGTGCTTCTGAACCCTCAGGAATACGTTTTACTTTACACCTTACACATACATCAGTATTTAGCTCATAACTCAATAAAAGTTTAAGTCAATAATGGAAACCAATTTGACAATAAATTTCATATATTAAAAAAAATAAATAAAAAAATAAACTTGCTTAGGGATTAAAAAAAAAGTTTAAGTCAATATATGATGATTTCTTGTAACATTTTCTTTTTTCAGGCCTTTTTGCCCTTTAGTTGATAGAATTCTCTTCTAACCCAAATCTTACGGTCTCTAATAGAATTTGCTCTCCTGGAAATCAACAGTTTCACTAAAAGCATCAACATATCAAACTCTCCGTTCCATGACAATGTGTGTCCAGGGCTGAAAAATACCACGAGTTAAAATGAAGTTAAACACAGCGCCTGTCCCAAGCTATCAACTGAAGGCATGCATTTGTTCAACAATCAGAAAAGGAGATACTATTATGTAAAGTAAAATCCATGCCATCCGGAACCACTCTAGGACTAGACATTTCAGATAACTACGCTTCCTAAATAATCTACTTTAAGTAACAAAAATTGTATTTGAATCATTTTGGATAAAAAACTAAAATATGTTTTTCCTACTTTCATTAACATGCTCTATTGCATATAACTTATTTGATGGCTAAGTGTCATCATAAACAGAAATTACAGCACAAAGATCTAGTACAACAATGCTTGGGGCCTATGCAAGTATGTAGGGCTATGCACATCTATGTTAATAGTCTCAAATTACTGAGGATGGGAAAAGCTAGGATAGATTTTAATCGCTTTTTCTGTCTCTTATTTTGTCAGTCACACAGACATATCATATTACTATAAACGCTGTAAGGAAACAGACGATGTATCAGGAGAGGGACTGATTTTGATAAAGTACCTATTCTGTGCCAGGTCTGAGATAAACTTTGCAAGGCATGTAGCAATCAGCCTGGCACAAAAGTAGAAAATGGGTAAACACTAGGTAAATGAATAGCACTAATGTGCCTACCTAAGCACGTTCTCTCTTATTTACAGCTTCTAATCTGCCATGACCTGGAAAACGCATACCCAAGTGTGAAAGAACACCATTTAAAATATGTCTAGCCTGGTACTTTGCACATACCAGGGGCAGCATGGCAAAACTGTATGTGCTGAACTGAGGATGGCGAATAGTGAGCATTTACAATGTGCCAGAAAGTGTGGGAAGTGTCTTACATACATTATCTAAGGTGATACCTATAAAGCAAACAATATTATCCCCATTTATAGATGGAGAAATTGAGGCTCCAAGTGGTTGAGTAATTTGTAATAAAATCAAGCAGCTAGTCGGTGATAGCAGTACTCTATGAATTCAGGCAGTCTGACTACAGAACAAGTAGTCTTTTTCTTTTTGAGAGAGTGAGAGTGAGATAGAGAGTGAAAGAGAGAATGAGCGGGGGAGGGGCAGAGAGAGAGGGAGACAGAGAATCTGTAACAGGCTCCAGGCTTTGAGCTGTCAGCACGCAGCCCGACGCAGGGATCGAACTCCCGAATGGTGAGATCATGACCTGAGCCGAAGAAAGATGCTCAACCAACTGAGCCACCCAGGCGCCCCAAGAACAAGTGTTCTTAAGTGTAATACTACACTGCCTCTGAATAAATGTGCAGTAAAGAAGAAAAGGTCAGAAAGACATGAAGTTTATAACAACTTTTTGTTTTCCTAGTAGAAGTTTTTGCTGACTTTCTGATTCTCAGGGATATTCTCAATGGGTGAGGGTTACTGCACGTCAACATTATACTGACAGGCCGGTGCAATAAACTATGAAAGTCAGACAAGTAAAGAATGAGCCCGTGAATTACTGCACACTACAGATGATGGGTTCCAAAGAAGTAGAAGCCTGAGAGATCCGTGTGTATTAGGGTCATTAGGGAGGGCTGTAAGAAGTTAAGACCTAAGCCCAAGAAGTGTAAGAGAAAAGACATGGGGTAAGAAAAGGGGCATTTTGTAGTTTCAGAATCAGCACAAACCCTCTGTGGACATGGCGGGGGGAGGGGGCGGTTGGGGGGGTTGGTCATAAGTAGATGAACAAACACACATGTGGTTTGGAACATTTATATCCAATGCAGCTGTAAGCTCTTATTCTTGCCAGCTTTACTTGGTCACTCAAACAGCTGGACAAACATAGGTTACAGTTGGCAGTACTAGTGGGGGTGGGATATGGCAGCTAATGCAAAGGCTAGATCTAAAGCTACGATTCCCTAGCTCCCGTTAAGGGTCCTTGAGGTGTGGAGTGTGGGCATGGGGAACCTACCCTCCATGATTTCCAAACCTAAAAAGGGAGGACATGCTGACCTAGGGACTATTTAAATACATAGTATCATTTGCTCAGAGATCTTTCACTAGGTTGAGCCAGAATCACCTCTAATTAATGACACACCTAGTGTAACTATTGGTGCAGATCCTCCCTGCCCCTAAGAATCACAAGGATGAGAGGTTAGGGCAGCTCTTAGGCCATCTACCATCTCTATAAGAGACAGGAGAGCAAGTCAGGAATCAGCTGTCTTACGCAAGGGTGTGGAAACACATCCACACTTTAGGACAGAGACTGAACTTATTAGCATGAGGCCAAAAGTAAAAACACTGTGGTAAACAAAGATTTCCTAGTCTTGCTTAACTACACGGCAGCTAAATCCTCAGCAAAATGTTAACAGTCTCTGAAGTGTGAGCCTAAGAGCAATTTGACCTGTACTTGGAAGGTGGGAGACGTGCAAGTTTCTCACTTCAGCAGGATATACTAGGGGTTAAGGTATCTTCTGGCAAACCTCCAAACGCTACATTATTCACCTGATTAGAGACTGGCACTTGGAACATGTGTGGTCTTTCTCTCATCTCTCAGATATCAGAAGTGCAGAAATATCAAAGTAATCCAGAGAAGATTCAAAACCCAATGCATGCATCCAAAGTACGTTTGAGTTGCGAGGCACTGATCTAGGGACTGAGACTATAAACATACGAAGAAAGACTACATCACTCTAAAGGATGGAAATGGACCCATTCATTATTACGTTTTATTATGCCCAAAAACTCAAGACTGCCAACAGGAAGTTCTTCTAGTGCCCCAGTAGCACCAAACAAGTCTTTTTCCTGCTTCTATGCCTCTGACCATAGCTTGCCAACCTGGAATTGTCTCACTGTATGTCACCTATCTATATCCTCACATCCTTCAAAGCCAGCTGAAGTCCTCCTCCTAGAAGTCATAATCTCCATCTCATCCCCTAAGTTCTGTCTCCTTCTGCTGAACTACTAACAATCACAGCGAGTACAGCCATCACTCTATTTAGAAATCTGTCATCCTCTAATTGATAACTTTTATTCATTCAATGAATCCTAGGTACCAACTGTGCGACAGCATTGCCCTAGGGACTGGAGAAACTGCGGCAAACAGCACTGGTTTTAACCTCCCAAAAAAGAACTCATGGGGAGAGTTCTCCTATGCCGCTTTTGAAAATCTTCTGTGTAGACCTGGGTCTGTACTCAGTGCTTCATACCTAACAATTTATTAGAGCCCTGGGCTTCTTTGGTCCAAACTCACTCAAACTGAAGTTACAAAAACCAATGGGGAACAAAAGCCAACGAAGCCATTTCTAAATGAACTTCCACTTCGTAAAAACCTCAAAAGAACAAGGAAGGAAAAGAAAACAGGCTATGAAAGTGCTGCTGAACCAACACATTTTACTCACACTGACAAAGTACCTCCAATCCCCCCTCCAAGCCACACAAAAGTGACCTTTCTCTCTCCATCCTTACCAGCTCCGGATTCAAGTGTTTATTTTAACAACAGATCTCAGAAAAGTTTAAAGCACCCCTAAGTTTCCTAAACAAATCTTTCTAAAGCTTTGTTTCTTGATGAGTAACCCCCTCGATGAATCTCGCATATGCCACTTAAGAGACTAATCCAATGAGGCTCCCGACAACGAACTAGAATTTGAGCTGCAAGCACGAGAGGGGCTAAAAGAACACCACTCTGAACATGATAAATCCAGACACAATTTTAGTATCAACAACAAAAGCCAGGTCCTGCGGAGCAGGGTGGAAGGTTCCAAGTTCCCAAAAGAAGGGAACCAAGAGAATTTCCTCCGGGGGAGCGGTGGGATTCTGCAAGGCGTGGGAGTTTCTGCATGAGGTGAGGGAGATTTCAAATAAATATTTCTCTGCTCTAAAGTAGCTTGTGAGATACGACAGCTGGCACCCGAGAGCGGGCGAGGGTGAAGCCGGGCTGTGCCATGCGGCGGAGGCTGCCACCTGGGCACTCCCACCATTCTCCGCAGCCGGGTCAGGATATGAGAGCCCGGCGCCGCGCGGACCTGCACGGGCGCTCCTGGCCCCGTGGGCCGCCGGTCCTCGACCCTGGCACCCAGCAAAGCCACCCGCCCGGGTCTCAGGCGCCCCGACCTCTCAGGAGCCCCAGGAGACGGGCGGGGGAAAGGGGATCTCCAGCCAGCCGTCCGGCCCCGGCGCGTTACCCACCTGAGCAGACTGGAGAGGGGATGGCTCGAGGACCCGAGGCCGCCGCCGCCGCCGCCGCCGCTGCTCCCGGAGGAGCCGCCGCCGCCGCCGCCGCCGCCCCCGAAGCCTGAGGAGAGCCGCTTCCCGGACAGCAGCTTCTCCACGGCCGGGAGGTGCCCGGTGCGGGCCGCCTCCAGCAGCTCCTGCTCCTTCCCCATCCCCAGGGCCACCGCCCCCTGGACCCCCTTCCCGGGGCCGCAGCCGAGCCTGCTCCGGCTCCCAAACTTTCCGTCTCCGGGCAACGCACCCCCCAAACCGGCCGGGGACACCACCCCCCTCCCCCCCGCCTTTTCTGCCCAGGAGCGCGTCACTTCCGGGATCTGGCGTCACGCGTCACCGCGCCCCCGCGCCCCGCCCCCTTGCCCACCTAGCTGGGCGGGGCTCGGCCGGCGGGCGCAGGTGGCTTTGGTCTGCTGGAAGCCCACCGGTTTGGGTCGGGCTAGGCCTCCAAGGGCAAGAGGAAAGCGCCTGATAGATAGCCGCTGTACAGGTGTTAGGGAACAAATGGGGCCCACCTGTATGCGCCTCCCGACGTGCGCTTCCTCCCCAAAGGTTTTGGGAGCCCACAGGACGGGAAATACGGTAATTCGCCCAGGCAGCGTAGAAACAAAGAGAGATATACGGTAACGCGCACTTACATTTCCAAGTTCATTTTTTAGGCACGCATAAGTTAAATATGTGATGGATGTTGGGACCTAGTGATACAGAGGTGAATAAAATGGCCTGCTCCGCACCTCAGTGAGGGAAGAGAGGAAATTTTTAAAATACAAATATCTCTTCTTCATGGTCCCAATCTCTGAAAAGGCTCGTTAAAGTGAAACATGCAAAGACAAGACAAGACCTCCCTTCCCAGTGGAATTTGTTTCCTCTTACTTTTTGATGAAATTAACCGAACTGACATAAGAAGTCAAGTTTGTGAAACCGACCTGGATAGTGAGTACCGGTAAATTGGAAAAATCATTTAATTGGGTAGAAAGTATATATTGTCTTTGCTACTGGAACTGTTCCTACCTCTAATTAGGCGCTCAACAAATGTGGAGTGAATAGATGGGTTGGATCAATTCTGTTCAAATTATATGACTTTTTTTTTTTTTTAGGTGCTTGAGGAACCGAAAAGAAATGGCAATTCACACAGGCCCACGGCCTCTCCCCAATCAAAATGTACGAGGTTGAGTCCCTGCCTAAAACTTTACCAGGCAGCCACATCCCAAGACATTGGCGTACAACGGAAAAGAGTCTTCTACCGTCCCCAAACTTTACTCTGAGGAAAATGGATTAGGGAGTTAACCACGTTTTTAGAAAGGCAGCATGGAGGGGGAAAAACGCCCTTCAGGAAACAACACAGCTCTCCTTTACAAATGCTGATTTCCCAGAGTGGGAAACCCACAAACTGATTTCCGTACTCTCAATTTTCCGTCTCCAACCGCCACCAAATCAGTTAAAACGGAGCTCTTGAAGTTCCCTACGCGTGCCTTAACATGATCCCTCCGAGGAGCGGTAGGGGTGACGTCATCGCAGCGCGACGATAGGAAGTAAGCTTCTGGGTTGCTCTGACTCAGTCAGTCCCGAGCTCCAGAACCTGACAGGACTGCGATCTCGCCCTTCTTTTTCTTGCTGCTATGGATAATGCCTGCGGGTCGCCCCCGGAAAAAGGTGGAGAGACGGGGGAGTCAGAAGAAACGGCTGCTGCTCCCGGGGGCCCGGGGGCTACCGACACAGACGGAATCCCAGAAGAAACTGATGGGGACGGAGATGCGGATTTGAAAGAAGCTGCGGCGGAGGAAGGCGAGGTAAGAAGACATGTGTGGATGAGGTCAGAGGAGTACTCCGAGATTTTGTTAACAGAGCTTGCTCGACCGGCTTCCTGGTTGGTCCCTGCCAAGCCCAGATAACTCGAACTCACCATGACTCGAACTCACCATGACTCCCTCTAGATCTGCCAAGATGTGTCCGGAGAGGGAGAAGACAAAACTGTAGTGCGGGTTCGGTTCCAGAGCCCCAGCCTCTGGGTTAATACTTTTAATCCCCGCTCCTAGATATTAAGGCTACTTCTAAGAGATTTTTAAAAAAATTTTAGGCAAATTCTACCCCTAACGTGGGGCTGTACCTCAGGACCCTGAGATCAAGAGTCTCATGCTTTTCAGGAGGAGCTACTCAGGCGCCCCTAAGGGAGTTTTACATAGCCTCTTGGTTTTCCTGGTGAGGAAATTGGGATCTGATGTCACAGACAGTGCAAGAGCTAGAACCCAGGATTCCTCGTATCCCTTTGACCGAAATATGGTTTCTCCTAGATGTTGCTCAAGCATAACTGTCATACGCTGCAGAGCCGTTAAAGGGAGACTTGGAGTTACTGGTTCAGTCATGTTTTTACCCTCGTGGGACATTTAACTACGACCAGTGACCTGGGTGTCAATGTCCAAGGGACTCTATAGCATAAACACACCAAACTCCAACAGCTCAGCAGTGTTGCCTAACTGAGCATCAGTCAGGGGACTAGAATCTCAGCGTGCTCTGGCTTCCGTTTCTAGAGATGGAATCTTGGAGTCTTAGAACTTCCTAGGGACTTAAACAGATCATGGGGAGGACACTGGATTAGATAGAAACAGCCTTTCAGAGAATTAAGTTGCACCAAAATATATAAAGTAAGAACTTTTAGAAAAATGTGGGAGCACCTGGTTGGCTCAGTTGGTTGAGCATGGGACACTTCATTTCAGCTCAGGTCATGTTCTCACGGGTTCCTGAGTTCAAGCCCTGCATTGGGCTCTGCGCTGTCAGCAAGGCTCCAGCTTGGGATTTCTCTCTCTCTGCCGCTCCACACCTCGTGCTCACATGCTCTCTCGCTCTCTCAAAAAATAAGCATTAAAAAAAAGGTGATGAAACTTTTTAAAGAAGGAACCTTTAAAAAAGATCTGAAGGACATAGAGGATTTGAATAATAATTGGTTCAGTCCAATAAAGAGCTCACTACATACAGAAATTTGCACCCAACAGGAGATACATTTTTTTTGATACTTCTGACTGAAACACTGTTGTTGTTTTTAATGTTTATTTATTTTTGAGAGAGAGAGCACGACCGGCTGGGGGGGGGGGGG